CACTTCAGCATGTCTCATATGAAGACTGGGTTGACTTATAGATTTTAACTTCTTAGGTATTTCTGAAATGTACAATCCATTTTCATCCTTGCAACTGCAACTTCTAAAATGCCACTCCAAAATATATTTGATGAGATTCGATTCCTGTTGAAGGCTTTTAAACGATGAATCGATGCCCACACACCCATGACGATACGGCCGTCTCCAGGATGATACATATAAGTGGTATAAACTCAGAACGGATGAACTATGTTTGAGTGGTCCCCTTTAAGCACCTCTGGACTATTACAATGACGCACGGATCAACCTCTGAGTACTCAAGTGAGCAATTATCCTGGGTGCATCGATTATAGACTTACGTTTCAACTGGCATCCGTTGAACTCACATGGGGAAGATCATTTGTGCTTCTGACCATAGCAATATAATGACAATTACAACAGAAAATGAAGGGAGCGGGTTTTCTACACCGGAGATTGATCGGTTTGAAGGCGTTTGTAAAAGATAATATCCCCGTTGTTTATGCATCATAAACTATTCCCAAGCAAGGTGACATATGTTTGAGATACTAATTGCTATAGGTCCGCTTTATAGGAGTGCCTATAATAGTTTAATAATAATAAAAAATAATACTTTGAATGTAGCTTCCCTGTTTAAAGCACCCTGGGTGTTTTGCAATGCATGAATGCATATGCTTCAATTTTACATGCCTCAGAAGCGGCCGATAAGAGTTTACGCTTCCTCCGAACCTTTATAAGTGATCCTTCTGGAAACAGAGATAAAGACTTTGGGATCTATATATGGACCAGTTCTGAAATGAGACTAGAATCTTACCATGGACTATTTTGAAGGATAAACATAAGCGTCAGACATGCAGACTCAATATGCTGCAAATCTTTACATCCTGAATCCCAGACACAATACTTCAGGGATCCAGAAGAGCATGAGATGTAAAATGTATTGGCTCTTTCTGGAACCTAACGATTTAATATATAAAACAAATTAAACGTCACCTTTGAATGGCACGGCCTGAACAGCCCACATGATGTGGACGGTACACAGAACACGCTTTGATATCTCTTACATAAATATTTACAATATGGAACATGTTTTGCCAGTAATAACCTGACAGTGTGATGTAAACACAAACACAGAGTGGTATTTCCATTTCACACTGTTTGAAAGTGAGGTGACTTCATGGCTGTACGTGTTATTGTCTTCTATCTATATTAGAATACATTTGTAGGATGTTACTTTGCAATTCATTTCACGTTGTCCATTGTGGTCAGTAAGATGACCAATCACACACATGAAGAGCCACATCACTCACACACCACTGGGAAATCGGATACGTCAAGCCACCGATGACATGGGACTTTCCTTTACCATTATATTTCCTAACAAATGTATTCCAAGTGTAATTCTATTTGGCGTTTCCTTTGAAATGTTGAGTTTTTCATGCAGTGTTCCAACACCGATTCCAGATGTCCCTACCAGAATTAATTTAAAGAAAGACTGCTTCTGGCAAATTAGAAATCCTCGCAACTTTGATTAAATTTTCTTGAACGCCATTTTTGTCATCTAACACAAATTGTATGTTGTATGAAACACTCTTCCTGTAAATTATTTTTGCAGTTACACCGATACATTGGCCTAGTTTCACAGATTTGCAAAGTGAGTGATAAAGCTGAGAAATGAACCTGCGAGGATTCAGGGTATGAATAAGAGTTGACAGCTACCTATGCTGTCACAAGAGGCGACTAAATGGATCGGATGGTTAGGCTCCATGACTTTGTTGATTGAATGTCATCCGATTCAAACATCGGGGGGACGATCACCATGTAATTGTTTCATGTTCAACCGTCATATACAAGTAGCTGGAGTGTGGTGTTAAACAACATGACACTTGAATTCAGATGATTTCAGGTTAACAATCGAATATTGACAATAGAAGACAATAACACGTATTAAATCATATTCCGCAAATATGTCGCCTTAAGTTTTAGAGTTTACCGGGAGCAGTATCGCAGTAAATAGGGTTTTACGAAATTGTAGACTGTTTATCCCAATGCGTCTTCCTGTATATTGTCCAACTAAGATGAAGTTTCTGGTCTGCATATACTTTGCAATCATCGAAGTATCCTGATCGAAGTGACCTGAATACTTTAGTGTTCTGAATATTTTTAGAAATAGGTATAGGAGTGCGATTAGTAACTGACGATTATGGTACTAAAGACTTTCTATCCATCATATATTGTATACAAGGATGAAGTCATCCAATCAAACGATACGATGTGTACCAATATGCCTGAAAACGGCAGTAAATAAGCTCCAATACATATCTTTGACGTCATTTCCTTGCGAGAATGTACAAATGTAATTGGATTGCACCAGTCAAGTAATAGAAGTTGACAGAAGGGATATATACAAGTGAATGAGTGAGTATGTTTCTTACGCAATTTCCAGCAAGAAATAAGGTTGACACGTTGTGCCCACTTTTGGAATCGAACCCTGGTCTACGATATGGCGAGCCAATTCTTTAACAAGGATCCCACGCCATCACTCAATTATATAAGTGGTTCTAATATAACAGTTACTGTTTCCGTCTCGGTATTATCGCAATGTTTGCCCTGAAGAAGGATGGTATCGGCATCCGGACGTATGTCACATTGATATTGTCATAAATCCCTGATCGCGTCATACCAAAAGACGTTAAGATATTGTACTTGTTGGTCGCTCGCCATTAATGGGTACAACAAGGACTCGTCGGCTCGGAGTCAGCATAATGTGTCCGAGTGGGTTATTCGTGCTTTACTGCGGCATGGTATCTCAGTGAGCTAGCACTATAAAAACAGCTTAAGTCTGGACTGGTACAAGCAACCACACGTCGTCATATGAGCAAAATAATCTTGGGCGCGACGTTAAACCCAATTTCACCACATCTCACCTGATATTGTTATAAAGCTAAAATGCATCTTTTAAACAAGAAAAGTATAACGAACCCATTATTGAGAATTGCGGTTATGTAGTGATAGAATTGATGCTATCACTGCTTGGTAATTAATCAGGGGATATAGAACACAATAACTGGGAGTAACAGGATCCAAAAGACCCTTAAAGTGTTAGTTAACGGTGAATCACCTATGAGCAGTTTACAGTAATTATCCGATCATGAAGGACATGAGACCATGGACTGATGTAACTTTAAACGAATCAGAAATATTGTATCGGCACATATGACAAGGGCGAAGCAGGCTAGAACACGTTAAGAAGATACCGTTAGGACTAGCAAAGTGGTGCGGGTTTCAAAGTCAGCAGAACGTTCGCATCGCTATCGTTGTAGGTGCACGTTTGGTAAAGAGCTTGCCCTGTCCTGTTCAGTCCGAGTCACCTTGTAGTGAAGAGTGGGATTGAGTAAACCTACGTGAGTATAGAACCTGGTGTTGATTTAATTATTATACAAATGTACGCCAGTACATGAATACAATGATGTTAGTCAGGAGTCCCGGTCGTCTGACCACTCACTTCTTGACGTAGCATCCCCTACGGAGCAAGCGAATGCAGAACTGGAGCTTACATCTCCACAAAACAATGAGGGACGGCCATATTAATAGGTAACTGTTAGTGGGGTTTACTGACGCCCCATCGGATGTCACGACAATAGATATAAGCATCAGTCCGTATTCGGATATATATTAAACAGGATGATTCCATTCAGAATTGTAATCGAGATCGGTCTCACAAGACGGTACTCATCTAGCCAATCTATATGGAATATCTGTCACACAACGGTACTCATCTAGCCAATCTATATGGAATATTTGTCACAAGAAAACGACTTGATCCTCACGTAATCATGAAAGCCCCCAGCCAAGCTCTAAGCAACCAGCTTATCTCATGTTCCATTGTTTTTCAACCATTTTAGCATTCACCAAACAAACTCCACAAGTGTTCTAATGCTGGTTTAGTAGCATGGAACACAGTTGAGCTTGCTCAAATGAATGGAGACTCAGTGAAAAACTGCTTTTCCATTTGCAATGCACTTTCAGGGGCACAATTTGCCTTGACTTTTGCTTGTGACGGTGCCAGCGACGGGCAAGGATACGCTCACCATTTCGCGAACCTTTGCTATCGTCACTACTTGGAAGTGATTGATAAACACAGGAAGATTATATAGTCGGAATCGTGCAATCGATTTCATAAGTTTGTTTAAAGGGCTGTATTGCCTTTTTTGCAGCATCCTTTAAGTCCATCTACAAAATACAGACACAATAAGTTAACACACTTTGAATAACATGATGCATATGTACAAAATATATTGTTAATGAGTAAACTGAGCCCTCGTAGAATGGTTTCTGTAGACATGCATAATAGTTGGGCAACCGAACACAAGTAAGGCGTTTGTAAGTAGATTTTGTGTTTATGGTCTGAAGAACACAGGTCAATGGCCGCTCATTAACTCAGGATTTGAGCCTCATTGTTTTCTCTCAGCTCAATATTCATTCGGTGTATGTTTCATATTCTACCGAAAACCGGTTCTGTGAAACACGTATGCTTACACACGCGCCATACACATGTTAAACACGCGCGGTCAACGGGTGCTCTACTGCTATGGACGCCGCCCATCACCCGTGTCACATGCGTGTTACAAGCTGTTGACCGGGGCTGATTCTCAACGCTTCTCAGAGGAATGAACTTGTAGGTAGTTATGCAAAATACTCAATACAGCTGCATCATTGATCACAATCGTGGTCAGTAAAACTGGCAATGATTCATGACCGGCTTCCATCATTGTTTCCATTGGCCACATATTGATTGCCGCTTAAAACAGACAGCATGTCTCTTTGTTCCTACAAATATTTCATGCTTAGTGCCCTATCAACACATCTTACAAGTTTGGTAAATTGATTACAAATAACAACCCAACTGAAAGCAAAGGTGAAAGTACTTACCACTTACTCCTTTTTCTTCAAGACTTTTATCAAAGTCTTAAGATAAAGAGCAAACATTCATTGGACACTGCTGTAATTCAGTTCCACAGCCTCTTTGTTTTGTTCTTAGAGTCGCTGTACGACACAAATCCAACGATGCAGTGATACTGGCCATGAAATACAGTGCTTTAATTGAAAAGGAAACAGAATAATGAAACAATACATTTCCAAAAGTGCCCTCTTGGAACAGGAGGAGGTAATATTGATGATTCTCCCGTTCATTTTGTGGATGTAAATCGCAGATACGAACCGTAAATAAAGCTCTGTTAGATACCGTTCATGCTGAAGGTCAAAAGGAGATTTCAAGAAATTCACTTATGGGTTAATCGAGGCAATTACCTGGAATCTTCAAGGAAGAATATTGATTGGAAACGTTCCCCAAGTCAGCATGAAGGTAGATGTGCATTCAAAAACGTTATGTGATCATGATTTATGGTTATTGATTAATTGTACTTTTTGTATTGTAACTGCTGTCCAATGCACCACGGGTATTTATGATATTTTAAGTTGATGGTGCAACGCGACCTGACCCTTCTGCTTAACGTCAGGAAAATCAATCAGCCTTTCTGAAAATCCGATGGAATCATTGAGGTATTTGAAGAAAGAGAGAAGTCAATTATTTCTTCGGTGTCAAATAACGGCAATTGTAATTGAGTTAATATTCGAAAACATTGAAGTAAATGTATTGTTATATCATGTAATTAAAGAGCAAGCCAACCAAATGAGAAATACTATTGCACTTTTGCACTTTGTACAGATAAACTGCCCCTTTACTCTCCGTCCATAGCCTCACACTACACCCCAACGCCGTCCCTACATCCACAACACCTATCCACACTCCATCTCTGTCTGCACCAACAACACACATGACTCTCCGTCTCTACATTCACACAGTACATAAACAGTCTGTACTTTCACCCCATACTACACATCCACACTCCTTCCACGCATATCCGTACAAAGGCCTGTGCTTAAAAAGTTCCTTCTAGAAGCGGTATAATACTATGCTCACATCCATTGCGACCGAACAAATCTCACCATGCCCCTACCAACAATATCCCGACTCTCCCCCTCCGCTCAGTCTGACAAATCTGCTGATGTTTTATGAAAAAATATTATCAATATTGATTTGTAAAATCATATTCTCTCACAAATCCCGTTTAGATTTCATTCAAGGTGCTGGAACAGTAACAGCATATTGTTTAAGATGGAAGAGGAATATTATATAGCCTAAGGTGATATAAGCGTACCATAATGATGGATGTCCCGAGGACGAACTACTTAAATCGCGTGTCATAGCAAGACTGATGAAGACTCAAAACAGTGGGAAGGTTTCACCCAAATTGCATCCCTATTCATCAAAATTGTGTAACAATATATTACAGCCAAGAAATGCAAAGTAACTGCATTAAATAGTTAATCCGATTTTCATAAAAATTCGAATAAATTGGATTCCATTGAACAAACGATGATCTCCCCCAAAGTGATCCCAGTATGCCTGCCCTACATTTTTAATAGAATTATTCCTGAGGCTCGTTATTCAATAAAAACTGATAGTAACCAGAAACGGATGACTGACAGAACTAATACAAGCTTCTAAAGTTACAACCATCAGTTATGCTCGTTTAGATATTTTGGACTCTAGTGACTGTCAGGGCTTAAACCAAATATCTAACTATGTATTTGAAATGTAACAAAAGCGTTATTTTTTGTATTAAAGTTTCCATTCCCTATGTTTCGCTCCAGAACAAACTGCAGTGTAATAGGAAAAGGGATTATACTGTTACACTGTATTTACGCTAATATTAGCGGCCTGTAAATAATCGAATCTCGACTACATAATCCAGTGATCGACAGTGTGAGCATTTTGTCGTCGGGGTTCGTTTATAACGACCAAGACTGACCACACCATCCATTTGCTTGCCTCTTACCACGACAATTCTAATTCTAGTTCTAATTCTAACCCGGAAATCATAAGGGTAAATCATTAGAAAGAACACAACGGGACGGTATACTGCGTCTGCTAAACATATTTTCTGAATGCATATAGCTGTAAACCATCCATAATGACATAATGGTTCTAGACTAATAGCTGCACTTTACATAGCTATATAAGAACAATGGTTTTCCGCTTAAAAAACATAGCATAACATGTATCGCTTGCTATCGATGGAGCGTTGTTGTATCATTGGGATGAGCCATATTGTTTAACTACATGGCCAGTCAAGAATATCCTCGCTACGACCTATCATGAGGAAATGCACACCCACACTAATAAACTATTAGGAATATTTTAGCATATTTTAGTATCTAATTGTATCTGTTTCTGAAATTGAATTAAAGATCATCATTTAACGTTTCAAAACGAGAAATGGCAAGGAAGGATGTCATAACACAAGCTCTCACCACATGGTCAAAGAATTCAATTAAAATTGTCTGTAGTGCTAGTCTTTGAAACCTTACACATTTGCAACACTCCTTCCATGAAAGCGAAAGCCAAACGTAACCATCTACACTCTAATAATAGTTTATACGAAGTTTTGTCAACAGAAGCAGTTTATCAAACGCATTGATAAAGCTGTGCAAAACGTTGTAGAATGGTAATGTCAGTGGGGTTGATTAGTAGTTAAAGCGTTCACACTGAAAACCCGGATTCGATTTTGCACCTTAATACATTGTGTGAAGCCCATATAAAGTGTTTCCCGCCGTGATATTGCTGGAATACCGCTACAAGCCGCGTGAAACTATACTCACGTACTTGTACAGGAGTAACACTATGCAGAGAATATGTTAGCCGATATTGCTGGTCATACATTTCCTTTCACATCTTGGTAAAATAAAACACATTCTCTGAGCTACAGTCGACCGTTCTTGGGATTGTGACACAATACCTAGTCCATCTTCAGAAGATGACTCGATACCTAGTGGATGTTTGGCTGGTAATCCTATGCCAAGTCCATGTTTGGCTGGAGACCCAATACCAAGTCCATATTTAGCTGTTTACCCAGTACTAAGTCCATGTTTGGTTGGTGACACAATACCAAGTCCATGTTTGGCTGATGACCCAATACCGAGTCCATATTTAGCTGTTTACCCAGTACTAAGTCCATGTTTGGCTGGTGACACAATACCAAGTCCATGTTTGGCTGGAGACCAAATACCAAGTCCATATTTGGCTGTTTACCCAGTACTAAGTCCATGTTTGGCTGGAGACCCAATACCAAGTCCATATTTGGCTGTTTACCCAGTACTAAGTCCATGTTTGGCTGGTGACACAATACCAAGTCCATGTTTGGCTGGTGACCCAATACCAAGTCCATATTTGGCTGTTTACCCAGAACTAAGTCCATGTTTGGCTGTTGATCCAATACCATGTTCATGTTTGGCTGGTGACCTAATACTTAATCCAGTTTTGGTTGGTGACTCAATACTTACGCCATGCATGTTTTGCTGGTGACCCAGTACTAAGTCCATGTTTGGCTGGTGACACAATACTTAGTCAATGTTTTGTTGATGACCCAATACCAAGTCCATATTTGGCTGTTTACCCAGTACTAAGTCCATGTTTGGCTGGTGACACAATACCAAGTCAATGTTTGGCTGGAGACCCAATACCAAGATTTAGCTGTTTACCCAGTACTAAGTCCATGTTTGGCTGGTGACACAATACCAAGTCACAATACCAAGTCCATATTTGGCTGTTTACCCAGAACTAAGTCCATGTTTGGCTGTTGATCCAATACCATGTTCATGTTTGGCTGGTGACCTAATACTTAATCCAGTTTTGGTTGGTGACTCAATACTTACGCCATGCATGTTTTGCTGGTGACCCAGTACTAAGTCCATGTTTGGCTGGTGACACAATACTTAGTCAATGTTTTGTTGATGACCCAATACCAAGTCCATATTTGGCTGTTTACCCAGCACTAAGTCCATGTTTGGCTGGTGACACAATACCAAGTCCATATTTGGCTGTTTACCCAGTACTAAGTCCATGTTTGGCTGGTGACACAATACCAAGTCAATGTTTGGCTGGAGACCCAATACCAAGTCCATATTTGGCTGTTTACCCAGCACTAAGTCCATGTTTGGCTGGTGACACAATACCAAGTCCATGTTTGGCTGGAGACCCAATACCAAGTCCATATTTAGCTGTTTACCCAGTACTAAGTCCATGTTTGGCTGGTGACACAATACCAAGTCCATATTTGGCTGTTTACCCAGTACTAAGTCCATGTTTGGCTGGTGACACAATACCAAGTCCATATTTAGCTGTTTACCCAATACCAAGTCCATATTTGGCTGTTGATCCAATACCATGTCCATGTTTGGCTGGTGACCCAACACCAAGTCCATGTTTGGCTGGTGACCCAATGCTTAATCCAGTTTTGGTTGGTGACTCAATAATTACGCCATGCATGTTTTGCTGGTGACCCAGTGCTAAGTCCATGTTTGGTTGCTGACCCGATACTGGTAGTCCCTGATATATACGTGAAAGTCATCTCTTTATTAGATGCAGGATAACGCGTATGTGTCATAGGATGTAGAATAACTATGAACTGGATACAGTTGCGCTGCTAATGTACCCAACCCCAACACTTATTCGAAGCATGTCTTTTTTAATCTTCAAATTGGGATAAACTTTGTAACTTTTGTGTATTTATCGAAGGATAAAAATCAAAATAACTTTGCATATATTTATTTACAAAAAGAATGAAGAAATTGCGATGATAATAGAAGTAAATAGAAGTCTACACCATGAAAAGGGATAATTGAAGTACGGATACAATTAACATTAGATTTCTAAACACCAGTTATATATTTACAACATATTGGGAAATATTACATGTAGAAATTCTCCAAGGCACCCTAAGAAATTTTGTTGATATCTGTCGTCACAAACTACTTGAAATATTTAAATATTTCGACTCCGTCATTCTCACGGCTGATGCATGGGTCAGAATGTATGGATAGATGGAGGCAGGCAGGCAGGCAGGTAGGTAGGTAAGTAGGTGTGCGAGCGCGTGCGTGTACAGTGTGGGTATGTGTGGTATGTCGTTTTGTCCCTTAAATGACGATCTTCAGACAGGTAACAAGAAGTAGCATCTTGTCTTTTGGCATGATACAGCCGGCAGACTCTCTATCCACAACGGCCGTCTCAAAGAAAGGCTCTATTTATTCTATCTTATTCTATACTCATGATGAAATGGTAAATCAAAGTAACATTGACTTTCTTTTAGCTCAATGGATTTTGTAAAATCCTAACATTATGAGTGACGACATATGATGCACGAGTGTAGCTATTCAAGTGTATTTCAAGTCATATGTGCACCCTAACTTCATGTTTGACTCTCCCACAGCGTCGAATGTATGCACATGAAAGGTATCATCACCGTCAGGACGTTCTTGGATGGGCTGAGACATTTCCTCCTGAAACTGAAGAGCATTTATAGTGATCTACGTGTCTATATACACATGTGTGTGCAATATTGCTGAGGTACACGGATTTTTCAGTATACAGTGAGGCATTAATATGTAACAGAGGAATACATTGAAAAGAGCTTAGTATTTGGTATTATCAGCAACGCTTACAATCATACTCTTGTCAACCTTAAGGAGCTCTGCCTGTGTTGGGACATCAGCTGTTTCTGTATGTGTTGAAGAATCAATGACGTCATCTGAAAATGGTAACAGTGGGTCAGCAGTAAACCTAATGATGTCTACTTTCTCTAAATGTTACACATTTTCATGTCATGCACGTCCTACTCATTTGGACAACTCATCTAAATATTCTTCGTTACGCAGATAAATGCCTAAACATACTTAAGTAATTTTGATGTGGGCATATAAGCACACCGATACTGGCATATCAGTGAAACTCACATTTTTCACAACAATTATTGAACCGTAAAACACACATGTATCTGAAAATGACTTGAAAGGTCATAACAAATCCGATAAAATAATAGTGTTGCGTTCCTCGTATCTTTCTTAACGCTACGCGTTCGGTTTTAAATCACATCTAGTAGCTATTACTATTTCGTTATATATCTCTGATTTTCCAACACAGTATGTTTATCTCCATTCCACCATAACCGCGTTAATAAGATTTAAAAAAAATGCTTATTGTGTTGGAAAATCAGAGGTCTATAACGTGATTATATATCTCTGAATGACTTTAATTAACCGATCACCATCCAGCATTTACTGAAGTCATGGTAGAATTGATTGATCTACAGCAACCCGTCCTTGTGGTTAGAGGTGACAACACACACGCGCCCGCACGCACGCACGCACGCACGCACAATGGACCTGGATAATCCTTACCGTTTACATCATGGAAGCTAGTGAGGGAAAGGCTTTCGGCTGTTGTTCTTCTCTCTGAATCATGAAATACATTAAAACTTATTGGCATTCAAGTTGCATACCACTGTCATTGACGTCCCGATGTGACATATCACGTAGACACATTCTTGTACAGCTATATAGCATATCCTGCGGTAGTGATACTTTTATCAACATCACATGGACTAAGTTTAACAAGTATTTTAAGACGGTATATGTTGTTGAAAACTGGAAATATCACAGACTATTGACCACCTTCCACTATCTTAAAACTGCCAAGGGCCATATTGATAGGGAGCCTCGGACATAACCCGGAACCAGTATCTCTTAAGCTAATAGAGCAATAGTCCAAAACATTCATCTGTCTTCATAGCTGTTTATATTCCACGTAGGTCAAATCACGCGCGTGCCACCTTCGTGGCATACTCACAACTGGTCATCCATTGTCCACATTTATCATCGATGCTTCGGTCAAACTAAATGATATAATGTCAAGTTCCCAATAACAATGTCAGCGTAAGTTTTAACAGTAAATGGAACAGGTATATAATACGGACGACAGTCACAAATCAGTCGGCTGTCTAGTAAATTCATCCAAGTCTAGTGGTGTGTGTGGGTTGGTTGAGTAGAACCTCTTGCCAAGCTAATTCCCCAAACACTTGCGTTGTCTACTGTCTAGTGTTCATAAGCATTACTTATTTTGTTGTAGATGTCATCAGTGTGTCCGTACTACTGTTTTGTGGCGTCGGGCTGTATATACTATTGTGTTAACATCTGGTGTCATCACTGATTTCGATGGTCCATTGCTCTTTTCACAGCTATTTTGCACTTAAAGGCACTATATCGCACTACACGTCTCCAAAAATAAATAATGCTTTTCTCTCAATAACACTAACTATCAGTCCTCAGGGAAGCTACCACATATTTTATTCCAAAAATACGTATTTAGAATACAATATTAAACTAAAAAGTGCGTATGAAAAAATGCAACGTTGTATTAAATCGGCTCTCGCGCCGTCTAACCGTAAAGGTATGTCCCTTTGGATCGCTCTTTACGCATATGCTACCCACAACTTGTGATTGAAACCAGTTCGACAAACACCGACAACATCGCGTGTGACAGTTTTCGATGTACGGAGCAATTGTTTACATTCCATATATGGCAAGTGTTCTCTAGACGCTGGCAAGTCTGAGGGATAATAAGTATTTTATTGCATCAAAAGGAAGCTAAAGTGAGTGCATATGCCCCAGTATGTGTAATATAAGCCAAAATATTGTCGAATTTCTTTGACATTGTGCCTTTAACATCAAATGGCATCTATATCCGAGTCAAGACTGGTAATTCCTTTGCACGCTTTTCAGCTGACGTTCTATAAGATGCCAGGAGTTAAAACATGCTGTCGTCAATGTTAGTTGCGCGTGTGTTAATAAGAACAACCATATTACTAAATATCGATAGATCGAGCCGATAATCGTTCTTTTACCCCATAACAGGGTTACATACGCAAAGAACATTGTTTACTTTGGTTAAGGTGATGCCGTCAACAAGTCGGAAGTTATGAATTCTATTGAACTTACCACTTTTCCTCTTGTCTTGAAGGGCTTTCCGCCTGGTAAAACAACATTCCGTGACTTAATATTCAGTGCATGCTCATAACAAAGCATTATCGTTAAATTGCCAAACATATATAAACTGAACACTATTCTTGGAATATTAGTTGGCTAACACAATATATAAATACTGATTTTTTGCATAAAATATATCAAACAGTGGTAAGAAAGAGTGACAAGACTTTAACGCAACATTTAGCTGATCACTGATAATACCAGGACTGACGAAAATATATTAGTAGCCTTATTTCGAAATAACGATTATATGTACGCGTGATAAGGTATTCCAAATAATCAATATTCGACATGTGTGCCAATTGATAATATAATAACCTTCGATAACTAAAACTTATCTGATAGCCATTGGAATGGTTAGATTAGGCTCTATGACTGATATTGTCAGTCTTAAAATCATCGTCCACAGTCAAAACAACGTCGTTTTAACGAGGATTACGACGTGTCATTGAATCACGAAGAAGTTATCCCTTCCCTGCATTATCAATGTTATTACCTTTATAGAGTTTGTTAATTTCTTTATTTTTTAAATCCTCTTTGTGGACACAGACATGATACTCCTATTGTTATCATTTTGTGAAGATGATTCATTAACACATTGTCAACACACAGTCTATATTATTAATTATTCGAAGTATTTGGCCACTTTTATCATATTTACGATTTACAAAAAGAATGTAAGTGTATTATATTATACATTATCATTTATGAATATGACATCATCGATTCTCCAACATATTTCAAAAACACTTGATGCTGACTATGAAGAATATGGTGTAACGAAATTACCATTTCCTGCATATGGCCACTGTCTTGTAAACAACATACCCAACACAACATATTGCTATAGTAAACTGAGAGAGGGCTATACTGATGACGGCGCCTTCAATCCGAGGACTAAAGGATACTGGCCCTGTAAAAGACAGACAACTTAAAATAATATTTAGTGCGGCAAACTAAATAAATGTGATTACTTTGAAAATCAGAAAAGATTTCTAAACATTTATCAGTTATTATGTAAACGGCACATTCAATATTTTGCTATTCCCGTTCAAATTATTGTATCAATAGTGCCTATGAGGACGGAGCAGCACCTGATGGAAGGTATCAGTATATAACATCTACAGTGTAACCGACCGAGTGAGGACGTAACAGCACCTGATGGAACGTATCAGTTTATAATATCTACAGTATAACCGACCCAGTGAGGACGGAACAGCACCTGATGGAAGGTATCAGTATACAATATCTACAGTGTAACTGACCCAGTGAGGACGTAACAGCACCTGATGGAAGGTATCAGTATATGATATCTACAGTGTAACCGACCGAGTGAGGACGGAACAGCACATGATTGAAGGTATCACTTTATAATATCTACAGTGTAACCGACCCAGTGAGGACGTAGCAGCACCTGAGGGAAAGTATCAGTATATAATATCTACAGTGTAACCGACCCAGTGAGGAGGGAACAGCACCTGAGGGAAGGTATCAGTATTTATTACCCACGTGGTCGTCACACGAGTGTCGTTTCGCGTTGACCTGTGTCGTAACGACTTGACCTGAGATTCTAATGATTTGATAACCGACGACGTCTCAATTAGGCCACGTTGTGACGGAACTACTGTTTCATTCATAACAGACACGTGAATTCATTCATTCTACAACTTATATGCATTGTGGGAATGTAAACATTGCGAACGTTGCCGTGTCGCTGTTTAATTGTGAGTCTAACTGAGACAATATATCCGTCGAAAAACATAAACGCAATGTTTCCACTAGTGATGTTAGCCGAGTGAAGCAACTGCAAACTAAAAAACGGGGTGCTACGGCGTAGTTTCATGTAGAAGGCTGTACGAGGCGATGACAACTGACATGCATCGTAACGTCGGTTACCAAGGTTGCAGACGACCAAGGCGTAGTGACGTCATTTCAATGTGACGTCATGCAAAAGGTGTACTACAGAACAAAATTCTTCCGCAACTTCTTTTAATTATGAAACCGGTTTCAGTTTGAAACCATAAAAATAACAAAAAAATACGCTATTTTGTCAATTTAATGCTTGTAAGACGTGGGTAATAAATAAAATACTACACTCGGTCTCAAAACATACGAATTATACGAAACACGTGACCTTCCTATGGTTTCTGACCTCGGACACTCGTTTCGTATAATTCGTATGTAATGAGACCTCGTGTAGTATTCTCTATATAATATCTACAGCATAACCGATCAGCTAGGGACGTAACAGCACCTGATGGAAGGTATCAGTATATAATATTAACAACGTTACCGAAACTCTGTGAGGATGCACCAGTCCCTGTTGCCTCTGAATCAGCACGGCCTTGATTAGTATCTGCATTGCAATATTTTTAAATACTAACAATGTTGGATTTAAGTTGGAGCACAAGTTAATTCTAAGACGGCTTTCACACTGGTAAACGTATCCATAGAATTAGTTTGCTTAGAATACAGTGTACGTTTGAGAAATTCAGATCGTGTTTAGGTTAGAAATTAGAACTTTACACTGCTTACACTGACAAAACCCCTTTTTGAACCTGTGAAAGCGGGGAAAGATCACTGACAATTCTTATTTACTATACCTTTTGTGGATTCCTGGTGAGTAGCGCAGCTTTCATTACATTGTCCATTACGAAGGCACGCTGAAGGGCATGGTATGTTACAAAAGGTACCATAATATGATGCAATCTGGCAAAATGTCTCACATTTGTTTCTCACAAACCTACTTCCGCAGTTGAGACATTTTATCTTACAGTCCTGCCCCGTCCACCCACTGCGACAACAGTCACAGGTTTTGTTCACCTTGTTGTAATTGAGACATGGATCCTTGATTCCAGACAGGGGGGATCCTGCAATCATAGGATAGCTTGTTTATCATAGCTACTTGCCCTGAGGGTTCAGGCCAAGGGTTGTATCAGGGGCAATAATACTGAAAACGACCAAACAATGCCTGTAACCTTGAAAACTGGTTTGTCAACTCGGACAACAACGGCAGCATGGACAATATAGACAACATGAACAACAAGGGCAAGAAGAACAACACAGACAACATGATCAACTTGGACAACGTGGGAAACAACTACAGAATGAGCAACATGGACATCATAGACAGAATGGGCAATATAGGTAACATGGACAGCTTGCACAAATGGGCAACAAGGGCAACACGGACAATATAGACAATACAACGCAATAGAACCTGTAAAGATACGGGTTAGAATCGTATCCCAACTGCGCAGAGCAATGCTCAATATGTTGATCAATGGATTGTCAATACAGCCATACAGCCGGATTATTGCTGAGTGCGACGTTAAACACACAAACAGACGCAGTGCATTGGGGTCCCGCTCGTGTAGCGGAGACGACTGGCCGAAATGGCGCTAAGTGTATGACGTCACTCCCTATACAAGCACTGCACAAATGATCACAACGGGTGTTTTTTAGAATGGAAACCGATCTGAAACCTACGGAAGCGTCCTAGTGCCACAGTCTGATTTTTTTTTTCTCCTAATTAGGAGATACTATTATTAGGACTTAGCTATCTCCTAATTAGGACATACTATCTCCTAATTAGGACTTAACTATCTCCTAATTAGGACTTAGCTATCTCCTAATTAGCAGATAGTTAAGTCCTAATTAGGAGATAGTATCGTGACGACATTCAACTTTGAACCGATATACAAAGGCTCGCTGAGACCAAACTCGGCGATACGACGTGTGGCAACTCAGCGATCAGCGCTACACGTATACAAAATATTTGTTGCCAGATTGTTTGTAATTTGTGTCAGATGTTCCTTCAGTTTAATGTATATGAAACCCCAATGCTTACTAGATCTGTCTATAGGGGATACCGAATGAAGGATTCTTCATCAATCACTTGTACGTAACAATATATGAACAAAACAGCTCAGTCTAGAAAAAAAGGATCACCACGGTCATTTCCGCCACGGAAAATGATATTTTCAGTTTCGTTTTATACACTATGTTCTTTAAATATTAAACGTATGTTTTTAGATACATAAATGCGGCAATAAATGCTTAAATGAATGTCAGTCTAAGGAATCCCCTTTATTATCGATATTTACAAAAGATAACTTGTTTTAATTCGCAAAAAGTTCACTGTCGTTGCTATAATGTATGTCGTAAGTACGGTGACATTACAACAGGTCGTTATTTTGGCCGTAAGTCGCTGAGATTCATTTTAGTTGAGACAGAAACTATGTGTTCCTCTACACATCATGTACATACTACCTACTGCATGCAAAATATTTATATATCCTGGGTACAGCTCACATTGTTACCATGGGCTTCCTTGGAGGCTAGATCACTTCATGAACCACCATTGCTTGGATCACCATGGCAATCTTCAGGTTCAAAATCCTTGCAGTTTCAGGAGTAATTGTCGACATGACAGTTGCCAAAGGACGGGCGACTGTCACTTGTAAACTGTCGTAAGATGCGGCTAAAATGGATCTGTGGACCGACTCGATGACATGGGTCATCCCTCAGATCAATCACAGGATTATCTGGTTCAGGCTCCGAGATTTACAAGCAGCCGTCAAATAAGCAGTTCAATAAGGGGTTGGAGAATGACAAAAAAGAAAGGAAAGTCGAAATATACGAAAGTTACACAAGATTTCTTTTCACCGAGATTAGGAACAGAAATCCTACCTTGCAAGCAAAAGGTCGAGGCTATTGCGATTTTCAGACAGTTCATGGTTCTTGGTGGTTGGAGGCATAGATTACATCGGCATGCTGTAAACAAACATCGGTAAAACGAACTTTCAAAGAGTCTTAAATCAAATTAGATTCAAGCAAAGACGTATATACACAGGATTGGAAGCCTTAGGCGATGTGCGCCGCGTAAGCTGACCGTGTTCATTGATAGCGAGTGATAACGTTCCCCGGCCGCGACTCGCGATTGGTTAACCTTTGACCATCTTGCGCTTGCGCATTGCTTTCCGTAGTTACCAAAACATCCGGATAACGCAGCTGTCAGAAATTTTCTCGACGCGATACGTCATGTGTATGTGCATGTCACATGTTCTATACTTGCAGTGATGATTTACTCATCTATGTGATATACCAACTGCGATCGCTATATATCTACCCAAATACAAACAAACACGATGTCAGATTATCTGTATTGGGACGAATCCGATGTCGATTTATCGGCAATGTTGGGTGAATGGACAGAGTAATGAATTAGACTTCAGTTCGGATTCATGGTCTGAGGACGAAGATAACTCTACCGAACGACCAAAGCCCAAAACCAAGACAAAACACACTGACACACCTTCCGTAAAGAAGACATGCTACCAGTGTCCTCTGTGCCCCAAACAGTATTTGTCCGTGTCAGGGTTCAGGGTCACGTCGTCAACAAACACAAACGATACGATGTAATAGGTGAAATTACTAATATAGTGAATATTTCCATATATGTGATGGTCAGACATAAATGCAGTCTTGTTGATGCAAATAATTAAGACCACAGCATATTCAAAGGAATATATTCTTTTGTTTGAGCCCTTATCATGGTTAATTGAAAGTGTTTAGAGGTAATGCTTAATAAAAATAATAATAATAAGGCACGGACCCACTCTGCTGCATTTGATGTTAATCTGTAAACATAATAATAATAATAATAGTAATAATCACAGAAGTATCCTACTGTTATCTGTACATATGTTTTCAATAAGCAGATGGAGAAAGCAATATTAATATACAATTATTTTAATCCAGTCAGTCAGCACAAGGTGTCAAACACACACAGAAAGCTGGTGATATTACTGCTGTACCTGTCTGTGACAAGGGTATCACCAACACATCAAGCAGCATAACAACCTTTACTGACAACTCATTTGCACAACTGCTTGAGTCTGCTGTCTCGAAGTGTGCAACAACCCAAACCACAATTCGATCACATCAAAATCTGGAGGTATCATGGTTGAGATTGGCTAGAAAGCAGTGATTTCTTCACCTGTCACAATGCAACATCTCGAAACATTAATCAAGCCACCATTACTGGACACATTGGCCGTTTTGGAAAGACAAGCTCTTTCTCATCAGACAAGGAATTAATGTTTAGGAAAATCCATGCAATGAGGACAAACTTTGAATTTTAAGCCAGCTTAAGATCCGTGATCATGAGAGCTTCCAGAGACAGAAATGCATGTCCACCTGTTTAGTCAGTGTCTGCTGGACGACCTCCTCAGATCAGCTGTTAACAATTTTACTATAAGTCTGCAGATGGACACAGAGAAGTCTGCAGAATCATTTACACACCAAGACAACTCTGTGCTCTTCTACATATCGGGGATACTTGATTTATGCTATGAAAAAAATCAAAAAAAGAAAGGAAATACAGCCTCTGCATTAATTATGAAAACCTTTTGTGCCTCATCCACTGAGAAGTCTCCTGATTTTGTTACGAAGATAAAAAAGTGGACTCTGAAGGTGAACCGTGGTGGACTGAAAGTCTGTGGTGATAACTTTTTCTTTCTTGTCCGAAAGATAGAGGCAATATGCAGGCAGGCATCTAATTTATATTATCACAACAATGATTCAAAGACAGCACTGAAAGAGACAATCTTGCAAGATATCACAGTTTCTTACTACTGGGACAAGCTAACTGACTCTGAGGATAAATTAAAAACATCAATCTTAGAGAACATTGTAGATCTATTCCTAAGACTCCGTGGAAGGGCCACTGCAAAACGTGTGCAAAGACAAAGCAGCAGAAGGAAAACGCGTAAAATCAGTTTTCAAAGGAAAAAATCCCAGTCTCTGAGAAAACGATTGAGACCTTACAATGATTAACCTGATAAATATGATATTTTATAATATAATCTGGGATTTGGTATTATTAGGTGAATTGTGTCCCCTGATTTTATCATTAAAAAAAATAAATGTCAGAGATGTAAATCCATTTGTTCCTACTCAACCTTGCAAGGTCAGTGCACATTATATGTGGCAATGGCAAGTATCTCAGTTCACTGTTTCCGATCATCAGTATGACAGACAGACAGACAGACAGAAAGACTGACTCATGGTTTATTTCAGTAACAGAGCTCCAGCCCAAAATATAAACTTCATCACAATTATGTATACAATGTGCATTTACGTTTTTCTTGTCTTATTTACATGGTAAAAATTGCCATACATCTCTTATTACATCACTGTTTACTATTCCAGCAAAATTAATAATGATGTGATCAATACTACAATATTTCTTCATGTACACGAATATGTTTTACAAATATAAAATACATTCATCATCCAATAGAAACATACCCTAGTATTCACATGATTTGCAATACCTCTCTTCAAAATGACATTTTCACATCTACCAGTTTTCTAATCTAAATGTACAACATTTAAAATAGAATTAAAATCACTGCAATAAAATATTTTATGTTTTGACTGTAGAGAATACTGGGACTGAAATAAGTTATCAAACAATTTTTGCTTAAAAAATCATTAACTGTAGCTTTTTGGATAGCATAGTACATTTATATCCAAACAAAGCCAAATCCATATTGAAATAGAACATTTTTTTTATCTTCTCAAAAGTAGTCTTGCAAAGGTAGTCTTCCAGATTCACCTAAATTTAAAACAATATTTTTACAAGTACATTTTCCAACATTAAATGCATTTGTACAAAATTTAGTTTAGTTTTCATTAAATTCACATTCATACCATTTGTTTCACAAAAAAATTCAAGCACTGTAAACTTTCTTTGTAGCTGAACACAAGTATGAGATATGGCTGAGGCATCATCAGCTAAAATGAGTGAATAAATATTATTCATAGCTGGAATCTATAAGTAAAATGCCTCTATAATTTTTGGGATTGTTTTTACAATTTCACTGGTGGCGCGTTGTCCTGTGCTTAAAGCTCAGGTCACAAATCGGTGAAGTTAAGCAGCGTCGAGCTCGGAGAGATCTTGGATGGGTGACCGTGTTTGGCAGCTTGACTCCTGAGAGTTTCTAGGACTAGTCCTGCCCACAACGAAGCACATGTCATACATGTGGTCTCACCTTAGGAAAGTGAGTTTGTTCAAAATTGCCTCTGTTCACCCAGCAGGAAAATGGGTACCGGTGGAAAAAGTCATATGACTATAACCTTCTAGTGCCTAACAGGCAGCTTGGGTTATCGGGGGTAATAATGGCCTTGATTGTTAGCTATGACACATTATTATTATTATTATTAAATATTCCTCAAAACTCTCTCTATATATACAGACATTGATAATGATCTCTGTGAGCTGCAAGACCTATAATTTTGGCTGCAATTATCTGTAAACCATGGTGGATGTACACCCACAGTATGAGTTGCGCATCATGTAGCAACTTTACAAATAAAGATACAGACTCATCAATGCTAGAATACCTGCAATACATCTGCCTGTACAAGGTATTTCCATAATCATTTAACCACACAAATTTACAAAATATTTCATTTCATATCCTTATGGTCATTACAGCTGTTACCATGGTTACCTGGCATATGGCTATCTACATTGTTTACAAGAAATCTCTAGTGAAAATATAATCATGTTTATGGAAAGTTACATGAAAAATCAAATGTACAAATACCAAAGTATCCTAATACATGGAAATTGATGAGGATGCCAACATGTTGCACCATTATGTGTGACACATGTAAAGTGAATTCACTGGTCATTAAGTACTCTGCCATACCCTATGTACTCTGAATGTGCGCCACAGTTCAGCAAATTCATTGCCATAGTTATTATGCGTTCATGTTCCTAGGACTGTCAAACACAGTGGGGTAGTACTCTGCACACTACACATATTCAACAATGTCATCAGAAATGTACTTTAGAAAGTCCTTCATACTGGCATTCAGATCACCACGAGGAAGACATGTTCCTCTGGATAGTCTGATTTCACTCTGTTACTGTAATAGTCCAGTGTTGAGATACCATCATTGTCACAGCCTTCACAGATTGGTGAATTCTCTGGAGATATGTAGGGGAATAGTAGAATTATGTATCTGTCACACTTAAAACATACTGTCTCGCCTTGAAGCTGAGCCTTTCAAAGTTTTCATTCATGATCATGAAATAGGATGTCACTTGATTATCTCATCCTCTTTGCTAGTGGCGTATTGTCCACAGCAAGTGATCCCTGTTGTCTTTTCTTGGAAACGTTTCCCCGAATAGGAGCAAGTGCTTGAGATCCAATTACTCTAAGTTCAGAAAGAGTGTTCCGGACATCAAAAACTGTTGGATTGTCGCTCGATCCACCTTTATGTCTATAATGAGGCGAAATGTTCTTCAAGGGGATCTTGATTAAATCTGTGGGTCAAAACAAAACTTGCTCCTTCATGCAAAAGAAACTTAGTGCATTCTACAATGGAGTTCACACTGATATGGAGACCATTCAATGTCTGTTGACTCAGCTTCATATTTGTTAAGCTGCGTAGAGTATATTGTCCTGCCCTGTTCATTACTGCCACTTCCCAGTCATTGAAATATTGTAGAAACTCATCAGTCAGATAGTGAAATCTCGAGTCATCTTGTGTCCTATATGGTTCTAGGTCTGGGTTCCTCTTGCGTTTTGCCTCCTCTAAATGTCTAGTGTTAAGACAGTCGAAGAAAGCGATTCATATGGCGAGAATAAATTTCACAGTTTCTGTCACATGGTCCCCATAAAGTTCTTCCAAAGCATCTGCAACTGTTTTGCTGAGTAATTTGTGCAGCTAGGTTTACTTTCATCTTTGCAAATGATGATAAATGTACATGATGTCTGGTTAATTTGGGACATAGGGTAAATAATGGTGTTTCAACATGATCTTCATACAAACGAATAATATGAGTCCATGAAATGCATTTCCCACTTTTCCAAAGATTTCGTGCCAAATTATGTGCTCCAGAATTTGAGAAACAGTTTCTTGTTGTTTTCAATAAGTGTGGGACATCAGATATGAAATACAGTTTCCTGGTGGGAAACGAATATGGGTTTAAAGTCCAAAAAGTATTCTGCAAATTTTCATCACGATGTAGTTTGAAGAATTTCCTGTTAGGTGTTGCCCCATCACATGTAATAAACAATGGCTTCAACCCGCATTCAATCGTTAGTATTCTCACAGTTTCCCATATTGGAGGGTATAAAGTCGCTGAAGTTATTCCATCAGTAGCCAGACAGAAAAATGGATACTTCAAAGATGTAGTGATGCCTCTCACCATAACAACCAGAATGGATTTTGCAAGTTTGGGATCACTGTCAATAAGCAGATTTTCCATATTACTGATGTCATTCCGGTTTTGTCCAGCTCTACATATCCGACTAACTTCGCGCTTTTTCTTGTCATAAACCAGTCCTTCTGATACTTTAATTTCATCTTGGAGGATCCCAACATAGGATTTCCATTCTTCCTTGTACATTCCACATTTTTCAGCCTGTTCAATCAGATGTTCAGTAAATCTTTCATGAAAGCCACATGTACTTTTCGGCAAGACATGTGAATAGTCAAATAAAAGCACGGGTACTTGGAAGAGCAATAAATCCAGAATCTCTGGCCACATTGTAAGCTTTCTGACTTTTGCTCACGTAAATACAAACACCACTTTACCATCATAGGGTGCCACCTCATTCGTGGTTGTTTTTGAGTTTTGCATACTTTAGCTGCTGGTCCCAGAAGAGCCTTTGAGTGGAAGTTTAAGTCTGGATAACTTCTCAAGACATCACTTGTGTATTGTTCCACAAGTTGTAAGAGTTCTTCGTTTTCACTGTAGCTCAACACATGTCCTTTTGTTTTGATGACATCAAGCACCCGTCTTTTTAAAGTCGGTCAAGTTCTGCTTGAATTGATCTCTTCTCATGTTTTAGCATATTAATTTTTTTTAACCAGATGAATTCTGTTCATAGTACTGTGGGGTGTTTTCTTCAGAGAAAATGTTGACACAGTGTGGGCCTTTGGCGTGAATCCTTCTTCCATGAGAGTATTTCTGTACAGATCACAGTGTTTGCACCTCCTCTTTGATTGAACCAGTAGACAGCAATTAGTTGAGCGTATTGTTGACTCGTATGGAATATCACCTCTGATAGCATGGATATCTTCCCGTGAGGCAACAGCAGAGACACAACCTGAACTCTTGTAAATTCCAACACCTGAGGGCACCATGGATACATACTGAGCCTCAAAGTTTCCCATGCAAATGTCCCATCGGCTCCAGTTTGGACTGTAACTTCTGGATGTCTTTCACAGAATGATATATATGTGGAAGACCAGTCCAAAAATCATGATTAGTATTTACTTCCTTGCCATGGACAAATAAAGTTGGTTTCAATGACTGATTGATGATCAAATTCAGTCTCATGGCCTGGCTAGGTTCATGATCATATGGTTGAACAAATCTCAAACCATGTTTATTGGCACCAGAAAACAGTAAGTGTCCAAAGGCTGATAGGTCTTGCTTAACTTCATCCATAAGGGAAAGATATCTTGCATATGTCCTCTCAGTCAACAGTCTGCAAACAACCACATCCAGTTCATCTTCAGCATTATACTGGAATACTTTGTGGAGAACAACATAAAACGCATTGGCAGAACAGTTGTCAGAATCTGTCACTTCACTGTAAAGGGGTGTGGAAGGTGATGGATTGCTGTCTTTTAGATAGAAATTATCCCATGCAGTTTCCCATCCGGCACTCTCACTGCAGTCTTTTCTGAAAAGTGCAATAAATTACAATGACATCACATACAAATAATATTTGTTTTACAAATATTATGTAATTAAGAATATATGTCAATGAATAGAAATGGATATATTATCACTCATTGAAACACTTCAGGGAGAAAACAACATCAGCTTTAAAAATAATAACACACATATAATATGGATGGAGATGACTTTACAACACCATGACAGAACTGTTTGTTACATGTCATTGTGATCTAGCAAGTAGCTGTCTCATATTGACACATGGTAAACATATGGAGAGGCGAGGGTGGGAGAGATGTCAGAAAGGGGGGTGGAGTTGTTTGAGTGGAGATTGAATGGTGGTATTCATTTGCCCATATAGTTGGCATATTAAAGTTTGTCTAAAGTCTGGTGTAAAAGTGTGGAAATATTTATAAGTATTTTTTGTATAAAACAGTACTGTGTATTCAAGAAATATTTTAAAGAACAAGAAAATATAACAAATCTCAAATGTTTGTGGCTACTCACATAGGAAATGAGTAGGAGTGGTCTGCAGCAACATGTTCAACTTGCTTCTCTTCATCATAATGTTCATAACTGTGCCGCCTTTTCTTTCTGACCTATTGCCTTTCTCTTGGACACAGGCCGAGGAGTTTGAGGCATCTAAGATACAACAGACATAATGAACAATGATAAACACAAAATATATTACTTACAAACACCTGCATGAGCTCTTATGAGCTCAATACATAACACAGAGTATATGGCAATATACACCAAAAAGTAAGATAAATTATTGATACAGAGACTTTGAAATTATATCATTCAGAAAATTCATTGTGGTTCAATGCATTTAATATAAATAGACCATATCAATATACATTTTTATCATATATGACATGCATTATCTTGAAAACATGTGGAAATAAAGATTCCTACCAACTCGACAAGTAGTATGCTATAGACCATGACAGACCAAAACAAATATTGCAATATACATATTTGTAATATATGTTTTCTAAAAATCTTCATTACTTTGGGTTAAATAGACATGTATTCTATCATTTTATCAAAATAAGACAATCAAATATTTCCGATAAAAAAAACGAAAATATCAGGACTACTGATGGTGATACATCATGTACATAGGTGAATAGTGATCAGATAAAATTTAACATTTTTAATTGCATGTTTTGAGGGCGAAATTGACGTGAAACTAATAAAATTCTTCATGAATACAACAAACATAAATTGAAATTTTAAAATTCATTTTGTCTGGAAAATATGGTTCAGTGCATGATTTGGAAATTGTGACAAAAAATCACAATGGATATGGACGATGCCACTGAATATTTCTATTTGACACAAATATCATGACAATCGCGAGTGAAAATCTATAAATAAAAATATATTTAACCATTTACAACATCGTAAGTACATAGAGAATAAATGGTTCCATTATCTGACCAAAGTAACTAAGGACTTCCTGCACCCCCTGCAACGTAAATTGACGCACAAATAGGACATAATGTACAATTTTGCAAACTGAGCGTGTCAACCATATTGGTTTCGAAGTCAGCGCCACAAGTGACGACTGGCCAGCAGTTCAAAAGGATTCTTTGCCAAAATAATAGTTAATCCTTTGAAAACAGATGCCGGTGGCTTTCGTTTATGTTCTAAGTAATGATAATTCTTACCTTTGATTCATGAAATGCTATCTAAATGCCGCATTTATCTGACATAATCCCACATATGATGCTATCCTTTCCGGTGTCCAGCGTTAGCGAATTACCCACGATGCACAGCGCGCAGACACCCCTGTTGCGGCAAATGAGCGCGACCCACATCAGAGCGAGACTGTCAGTGGAGGCTTCCAATCCTGTGTATATACGTCATTATCCAGCATATTTGCCTCACTGAACTTATAAAATGAGGTGCGATTGCATAACTATTTCATTCTCGTATTTCACTTCATGTATATATGAAGACACTCACCTTTTGTAAGTCAAATAGTCTTTAACAGCATTTCACCTCGCTTCAGCATGTAGAACTGATAGCTACGAGTCGTACCTTCTTAACGCTGGACTTATCCGAAGCTGATTGTGCGCTAGCTTTCACAAACGTCTGAGGCAAGTTAAGGAATACAGGTACATGACTTTTACCAAATATTTACAATACTTTCAGGTAAAAATGACCAGGAAGGGGGTATATTACACGCCTAATGCTGGAAGGCTCCATATGTGACAAGGATCTATTTGTAGCCCCTCCGGGGTTTTCCTCAATGGCGTGGCGCTATATTGAGCAACAATGTACTTTCGTGTGAATAGACGCGATAAAACCCTTTCCACCATCAATGAGTCGAACCCACACCCTGAGGGTCAGACACCTAATCACTAGTCGAACAACTGTTAGTCTAGACCACGAACTTTGTGCACCACTCTGATAAGTGTAAATTGGCACCGCTCCAAGTGCAATCCCTAATATAACGTGTTACATTTGACCACTTTCTAAATGGCATTGTGTATTCAATGTTCACCCATGTTTTGAGTTGGTATGTATGTATGTATGTATGTATGTATGTATGTATGTATGTATGTATGTATGTATGTATGTATGTATGTATGTATGTATGTATGTATGTATGTATGTATGTATGTATGTATGTATGTATGTATGTATGTATGTATGTATGTATGTATGTATGTATGTATGTATGTATGTATGTATGTATGTATGTATGTATGTATGTATGTATGTATGTATGTATGTATGTATGTATGTATTTGTATGTTTGTATGTATGTATGTGTGTATGTATGTATATGTGTGTGTGCATGCGTGCCTGCGTGCCTGCGTGCCTGCGTGCCTGCGTGCCTGCATATATGTATGTGTCACACCGTCCCGTGTGAACCGTCTCCGTCGCACGTAGCGGTCAAACTATAAAGCATCCTAAATAAATATCCAGTATGGGAGACCCCTAGGAGTAAAGTGCTTACGTTGATGCCAGATATCTCTGTGTTGTCCAGTTTCTCGTTCGTCACAGTTCTAACCAATTCACCCTTCCATCTTGGATGAACAAAGAACCAGATCTACAAGCTGACATATATTTCCAGACTTCTTCACGAAAGTAGGGTCCATTCTTTATGTTGATAAATAGATGCTACTAGAATGCAGAATGTTCTCACGATTATGATTATGGAAAGTTTTGTCTCCTTGTAAATTTTGTAAAAATGTTCTGCAAAAATGTAAATAACAATATAACTTTCTTAATATGTTATTTTGCTGTTCTCTGAATACTATTAGAATGTGTCGTTTGGGTACATGGAAATAATACAAAACATTTATAAAACAGATTTGACGTGACACTTACATTATACCCTTAACATAAGCTTATATATAAGCTTATATATATATACGCACAAAATGTCCAAAATAGTACAAGTGTTCAGTCATAAATATTGCATAGGTAAATAAAAACAGAATGCCTTTTTCTCCAACATGTTTCGTTCTTTACTCTTCATGCACGATCTTTTGACAGGAACGATGAAACAAACCAATGAGGAAAGAGTAATTGCTTTTGTATCTACTTATAATCCATTGAACCCAAATGTGTTCCAGAACATAAAAACAAATATGTGCATCTTAGAACAAGATCAAAAACTGAAATCTATGCTGAAATCTAGAAAAATAATAAATAGCAAAAGACAAAATCAGAATCTTAAAAAGATACTAACAAAAGCCAAATTTATTTCAAAGAAACAGAATTTATCAAATCCTACTGTGTGTAGATGCAACAGAGGTAACTGTGGAACGTGTCGACATATTGTTGAAGGACACTCTGTAACTTTCACGAGACACGGAGAATTCTATGTAAAACAGAATTTTGACTGCTCTTGCAAAAACATAATATATGTCATAACATGCACAGGCTGTAATGAACAGTATATTGGTCAATCAGAAAATTTAAGAGCCCGGGTTCGTGTCCACAAACAACAAATAAAGTGTCCTGAAACCCGATGTATCCCACTGAGTGAACATCTAGATGTCTGTGCGAAAGGAAACGATGTTAAATTTACAATATTTCCTTTTATCAAGTTCAAAATTCGGACAAAGTAAAACGAATTTTAAAAGAACACTACTTCATAGACAAGTACAAACCAATGTTAAACCATTGCAAGCTGTGACCTTGTCGCTCTAGAATGTTGTCCCTATTATGACGTCACAATATATATGTAATGACGTCATACTGTAACCGCTACAATCTCCCTGAAGAGTAAAGAACGAAACATGTTGGAGAAAACGGCATTCTGTTTTTATTTATCTATGCAATATATATATATATATATATATATATATATATATATATATATATTAAGATTGAAGCTCTCAGCGCCATGTCTATAGTTCATAATCAACTGTTTATTTGCGGAGTAGAATATGTGGCATCCATCCCAAAACATAAACAATTTTATTTAATTTACCACTTGGTGGAACGTGAAAATGTCTGTGTCGTTAAGAAGTATGGTGTGACATATATGTTCACAAAAATTCAGTTTGTCGAAAAAGACAAACATAGTTGTACTGTCAAATAATGTTCTTATATGAGTTAACCTTTCTTCATCTTGATATATATCTACGGGTTGGGGTTGTCGCGTCATATAGGTAATATATTATCAAACGAAATTATAATACGATACACGGCATAGTAGTATAGTACAAATACCATATAGGCGGTGATACCAGGAAATAAAAAGATACACTGAAATATTTGAACCCGGATCTTCAGCGTGACGAATGCCATCCTACCATCCTGAGTCTTTCACGTAGAAACAATAAAGTACTTTGTGTACTTGCAACCTATGTTACACATGGCATGCTTATTTGTCGACAGTTGATAGAGTTTTCAGTGCAAGTCCACAATCTCGTTGTAAATAAATTAACAACAAACACATTCAATTATTTTTTACATTTATTAGTCACGTAATCAAAGCGGTCCAGGTAATGTGATGGGTACCCGGGTCAAACTCTTTACCCACCGGTCCTGGGTAACTCGGTTACCCGTTCTCGCCCTGTACGGCGCTATACCATGTCTAATATACATGTATGATGTATATATATTATTATGGTATTTTTAAATATTTCGACTCTTATATAAATGGTAATGACATCTAAATTCACCTGATATACAGGCCCGTGGAAGTAACTCTTTGACAGAATACTTTTTCAGATAACCGACACATCAAAAGTAATTATATAATATTTATTTCGGTGACTTGGATAGGGTTATGTGCCTGTTAAAGTGATTGGTGTTATTATAAGCATGGTGATGTTGTGTTTTCAAACACTTGATGTTCTTTGATACTGACTTCGATGGGTATAAAATACTCATGGGATCCTTAACTCTGCAATAATTTCAGATATTGTTTCAACTCTCCTTTGATATCCTGTCCCCTCCACTTGTCCGTGCTACCAGTCACAAACATTTTCAGGGACTAGTCAGTCTTTCGCCCTAAGTAACATGGGGAATAGCCGTATTAGCCAAAATGACGAATTTCACATCATTTTTCTAACTAATCTCATCCAGCCCAAATTTCTTATTACTACTTCCCTTGGTCGTATTAAATTGCAATATCCACCATATGTCAACCATAAAACTTTTTGGAAGCTCTTTTGAGCGCCTTAAATGCTGTAACCCACATCAAACAACGTTTTGAACAAGAGCCATGTGATCCTCTCTGATCTTTTAGGAGAATGTGCATGCTCGAATGTACTTCAAAAGCTATGAAGTGTACACACCAAACGCAAAAACTGCAGGAAGTTGATGAATAGACATTTGAAATACCCCCTCTTTCAATACAATCGTGTGGATATTCTTTGCAATTCATTATCAATAGATCTAAATATTACGACACAGATGTAGCCGTTTCTCTGCTACGTCTTTTTGTACAGAGGCGTGACAGGGAGGCAGTTGGCTGTTTGACCGTTATTGAGGGATTCAAATCATCGATCTACCTCAAGCTGAAGTTAAACATCTTGGTCAAGTTCCTGTGTTTTTCTTATTTTCTAATTCAAGTAAAATTCCGATTCATGAGCATAAAGAAACAGTTCGATGAAAAAGAGAAGGAACATTACTTCCCACGGAGACAAGTGCTTCTTGCCAAAAGACCCTATCTCCAAATTTTACGTTCACCTGTTGTTTTCTCAGTAAACTTCAGATGACATTTGCTTCTGTTTTCCACAAACTGGCCAAAAAACCTTCAAAGATGAACATGCCTGCGCTTGCGCATCGGTTTTTCGATTCTTACATCAATGAACAAAGCTACACGGTCAATCCTTAAATGAAAAAAACTCCATCGATTAAGGACCGTAATCATGTAAGTTTGCTTTGCTACAATAATTCAACTAGTTTTGATGGTTCAATTTGAATTGATCGTGGCTTTTAATCAGAAGATAAATCTAATGCAAACTAGAAAAAAGCTGTGTATATTCAAGAATGTATGCCACTTGAAAAATTAAGGACGAGGTTGTACATGAACTAAAACCACACGGGCCGTAGAAATAATCTACAACTAACGTATGAACTATTTGGGAATGTGTATCCATGTCGTTAAACCCTCATATACCCTACACCCACAATTCCTCAGCCTCTCACGCATCTAGTTAGATCTAAATAGAACTTGAATGTTATTCATTACAACCCCATTTGTTCGTGATTGGTGTGGTGTGATTAACATGGCCTGAAGAAGGCGTGTGTAACTTCATACAAAGACGTGAGAATATCAGGAAATAGATTTCAAATTGCCGTCTTTGGTTCCTATCGTGTTGCTGTGACCCCCTTAGTCGCCAAGGACACACAGAGGATGCAGGTCAGGTTGATGAAACAGGTTGCCGTGAACTGAAGGAGAACCAGACCGAACTGTGACAGGTCATTAGATTAGGGCATGTAATATATTGTCTTCCCTTTGACTGACCCTTTTTTCATACGGAAAATTATTTTAATGGTAAGCGCAGAGTTGTAACGGGTATTCTCAAAACTGCTTTGATCATTGCAATGGGTACATTCACATGCAGTTTAGTATTTTCTGTTGACGACGCAGGGATATGCTGTGGCGTATTTGTTATGGTGGATTTGTTCTCATTTCACTTTTAACTGACAAATATAAATACGCTGTTTGTCTTCCAAGACACTGGAGAGCAGCTTTCTCCTAATAATGCAGAAATAATAACAAGATGAAATATA